TCAAGATTCAGATCAGAGTCTGCAGGAAGAACCAGACGAGACTCAAGATCAAGCTTTAGAATGTTTATAGATAGGAATCTTGTAACTCGTAGTTGATGGGCTTAGCTAGTTTAGCTTTTCATTTTTCATTTTGGTGTAATAAGGAGCTCAGCAAGCAGAAACAGCAACAACAGCAGTGAAATCACAGTTTCTCGGTAGTCCCAGCTACCAAAACTTCCAGAACTACACTGACCTGATTCCTTTATAGCCAAGGATATGTAGGCAACCTCCGAAGCAAGGTTCGGTCAGACTTTTCCCAAAAATGCTTCCCAGGGAGTATCCAGACGGGCAAAAATCGCTCATAATTGCTCATTTTATCTTTGCCCGAAAACTCTTCGTGTTTTTGAGCAAAGAGGGGCAGCTGTGAGCATGTGATTTTTGCCCTACTAAAGATACTCCTACAAAAATAAAGAAATAGATTTTTTCCAAATTTGTTTTCAATTTTATAGGATTTTATTAATTGTTTGCATTTTTGAGCACGTTTAATTTTTTTAAAATCATGAAAAATGTCAAAAATACCATGCATTGCATATTAGATTTTATGTTCATATTTTTAGAATTAATTTGTTAATTAATTGCTTTATTAAAATCACAAAAAATATCATTCATTTTATATTTTAGCTTTTAATTTTAGATTAGTAATTTCCTCTTCATTAATTTAGGATTAACTAATTTTTGTAAATATTATAAATAGATAATTAGTTTAATTTTAAAAAGTAGATTAATTTAGAATTTAATTTAGGATTTTAATTAATTAGAGAAAAGAAAAAGGAAAAACAAAGAAAAGAAAAATAGGAAGAATGTATTTGGTCTTGTTTCTTTAAAATTGGGCCATTCTTTAAAATTGGCCCAATTAATTTTTCAAAAAAATTCCGTTCAAACCTAGGGCCCCAAAGACCAGTCTACCCGGTCCAATTCCCCTTAGCCCCAAAACGACCCTGTTTCCCCCATCTTTCATCACAACTGTTGGATTCTTTTGGTCTAACGGCTCGGAACTAATTCCCCATTTTACATAAAACTGTCTGAAGACAGACCTAACCCCAAAACACCCCCCCTCCCCCGATTTCACTCTCATCTCTCTCAAGCCCCAAACCCTAGCCGCCCTAAAATCCCTCGCCGGCTCCGCCGCCCGAAAATCGCCCTACGACGGCAGAGCATCACCAAATTGCCCCAAATTCTCCCCCTACAATCCCCAGCCTCACCTTTACATTATCCCACTATCAATTTCCCCAAAATCCTCACCCATTCGCTTTAATCTCATATCTGAGATTCCGACCCCAAACCCTAAAACACCTAAAAACCCCCGAAAATCATACCAAGTAACCCACAGCTTTCCCTCACCACAATCCTACCACCATTGTTTCTGATCCTTCGCATCTTTCTTCTGTTCTTGCTTTGGTTTTGCATGTATTTTATGTTTAATTAAGGTCATTAGGTTAATCAGTATTTGAGTTCACTGTTAGTTTATTGTTGGAATTGTTCAAGCATGCTAGAATTCAGTATTTGAAGTCTAATTTCAATTGCCTAAGGTTAGATTAATTAGGTTAATTTTTAGGGGTTTTGATAAAATTGATTGTTCTGTTTTCTTTTGTGTTTTGTTTCTCTCCCATATTCGTTTGTTGATATTCAATGTTTAGTTTAAATTGATTAGAATAGTTTTAGGAGTTCAATCTATTTGGCCAATCTCTGACTAGTCATTAGGAAACCTTAGCCTTAGTTAATCTGTTTAATTGCAAACTAATTAGGTTAATTTCTAGGGTTCCTTTGCATCTTCATTCTAGTTCTTGTTATTTACTGTTTGGATGTGTTAGTTGTTAAACTCAGTCGTGTTTAAGGTTAATTAGGTGGACCTGTTAACTAGGAGTAATTTGTTTGAATTAAACCCTAGATGTCGTTAAGTTTAAGATTTAATTTCAGAATTAAAAGGACATTGAAACAAGCCTAAGACCCCTAATGCTGAAATCTTCTAGATTGTTCTAGGAGGTTCCACAAAGGTTTTTGAAATCAGAATTTAGGTCAAGGCTGGTTAGAATTGAAATAATCAGTAGATAAAAGGGTAAAAATGGTTTTACATAAGATAAAAATCAGAAGGTTCTAGCATTTTGTACAACTGTCCCATTTTTAGCATGAAAATGTTGGAATTGGGATGAAAAAAGGACATACAACTGTCAAAAGATGATGTACTGTCTGACCCTTAGGGAATTTAGGGTAGAATATGCTCTTTTGATGCTATATTAGGATACCCTATAAAAGGAAAGTTATTCCTTCATTCTAGACACATTGATCAGCATATCTGCACCTAGAAACTTTCAGAATACAAGGAAAAAATCTCTGAAACTTTTTTTTTTGGAAAAAAACTTCAGTTTTCTAGTTTAGATTTCTAGGTTAGTTTTCTGGTACTCTGATTTTCTGGAAGTCTGAAGTGCTTGTTCTTTGGTTTTCTGGGTTGCCCTTCTACTGTTGATGTGTGTTCTTAGTTGTTATTTCATCCCTAAAGTTTCAGCTAGCATTCTCACTTGTTCTTCTGTTGATTTTTACCTATCAAGGTACTTATTTCACCTTTCTCGAATGTACTGCCTATTTGGATTGTTATGATATCAAAGAGTTGCAACTATGTGTGTTAAATATGTATCACTTCATGGTAGTTACTGATTGTATTGTTATGAATCTGATTAAATCTTCTGTTATGTGGGTTTAAGGTTGAAATGATTTAGTTGGTTAGTATATTAATACTTGTAGCTCTTCTCTTAAAAAATGGGAAATGCTGATTTCTATGCTTTTGTTCGAAGTTATTTCTTCTAGTTAAATCCTTACAGTATCAAAACTGATTTGCATATATAGCTGCTATAGTTTTTCTTTTCTTCTTCTACTTGTGAAAAATAACATAATGTTTTTTACTTGAGGTCACAACTTGTGGATTTGGTCATCGGTTGGCCAAATCAACAAGTTTAAAAGCCAAGGGCTGGAATTTGGTCATTGTTATCCTGCTGAAGTTGAGAACCTCATACCAGTGAACTAAGCTCGATGGATCGACTATATCCAAAGGAAGTGAATGTTCATTGGGCTGTCAGTTTTTCCCAAAATTGTGATAGGATTAGCTATTATATTTTTCTCATAGGATTCTAGTGTAATAGATTAGTTATTATTGCAATAGTTTATGTATTAATAGGCCATAATGTAATATTCTGATTTCTGAAGGATTTATTCTTACTTGATGCTCTGTAGTTAATTAAGGTCAGGTTTCATGTACCGCGACTAAAATTACTACTGTTAGGAATGTGTTAAGTGATTATTTTGCTATTAGATTTTTGTAAGCACAATGGTGCAATAGCCAAGGCCTTGGGCCAGATCTTTAAAAGTTGAAGGCCTGTTTCTGTGACTCAAGTTGGGCCAGACTCGTAAATGAGCCTAATTGGGAAAAACAATCTCAAACGAGTCTGGGCCCAGGCTATTGAGCCTGGGCATTGAACCCAACAGCCTGACCCCCAGTTATAAATTTCCCTTGTGAATTATAGTATAAACGCATTTCTTTTTATGTCTTGCAAATCATGTGTAGTATAATTTCAAAACTTGAATTGTATTCTGATTTTTTTAGATTCTGATTTTTCTTACATAAAAGTGAATTGATTTATAATTTTGGACAAATATGCATGTTGAGTAAGGTTTGTTAGCTTAAAATGTAAAGGCAGGACAAGCCCAGCTAGTAATTAATCGCGACTGGGCCAACCTGGTGTTAGCCCAAAACAAGACAGCCATGGTCAGAAGCAGGCCTGGCAAGGCCTTTGAGTTTCTTTTACTTCTGGGCTAAATTTTGAGCCCAAGCAGCCTCAACGCTGAATTTTCCCTTGACCAAATAACCCAATGGGCTACTGCTGGCCCAAATTCCTTTATCCAAAAATGATTAAAGGTGTAACATGTCTACCCCAAGCATGTGTACAATTAGCAATCTTTTGAATAGTTTGAGGCGTGCCGTTCACAAATGAATCCCATAATCTATGGCCCTCACATTAATACCAAAACTAGTGTGGAAAATACTTTGAACATTCACAACTAGTGTAGAAAATACTTTGAACATTCGTAGTTTGCTTTAGGCGCGTTTATAATAAATCATCGTGATTACGGGTACAGTTTCCGTGACGTAGTTGTGATATATATATATATATATATATATATATATATATATATATATATATATATATAGAGAGAGAGAGAGAGAGAGAGAGAGAGAGAGAGAGAGAGAGATATTTACTGTTGCCACTCATGCTCCAAGAATGTTGAATGATGTATTTGGTTGAAGGTTGAGTTATTTATCAAGAGCTATAGGGGAATCAATCCCCCTTTAGATACATTTTGTCTCCTTTTTTCGTAGTGTATCCATGTACTAGAAATTCTAGATCCGCCTACATTGTGTGTGTTTTTCTAAAAACCCTATTCCTAACTAACTGTCGAGTTTGAAACTAAATGAATTTTGAGTTGAAAATTTTACTGGCTAAAGAATCATTTAAATTTTTAGATAGCCAATTAATACAGATTTTTAATTAAGGATAATATATTCACTTGCATCATTATAAAAATAATACTATTGAAATAAAAAGTTTTAGAATTTTTTTTAAAAAAATAACAACATAACAAATAAGGTTCAAGCTGTATCCAAAGAGTCCTTTATATTGTCTCAACCTTTGGTTGCTTTGCTATAATATAAGTTATTATTTTGGTTCTTGGTTATTTTCAAGTTCCAGTGACACCACCGAAAATGGTATCGAAAAAGAAAATAAAATTATTGACTACAAGATTTGAGAAACAATTAGTCTTTTTTTGTGTATACTATTTTTTATTAATATCTAATAATTGTTTATATTTATCTACAAGGTTTAAATTTTAAAGGTATTTACACAATAACCAAATAACTTAAATCATAATTCGACAAGTTTGGTCCATTTGTCACACGAGGAAAGAAACTAGAAGGACACTTTGGTGAAACTAGAAGGTTCTTGAACTCCAACATATATTTCATTCTCCCGGAAATCAACAGGCTCACGAAACCCTATTCGAGCGAGCGACGCAGAGAACGCCGGAGAAAAATGTCGCACTTCGGAAGAACTGGACCTCCGGACATCACCGATACTTACTCTCTTCTCGTCCTCAACATCACATTCCGTAAGCTTTTCTCCTATTCCTGTTTTTTCGCCTTGAGATTTCGCTCTATTTGTTTTTTTTCCTTCTTGATTTGTTAGCAAATTGTTTAACTGTTTTGTTGTAACAGGTACCACAGCCGATGATCTGTATCCTCTTTTCGACAAGTACGGGAAGGTTGTCGATATCTTTATTCCGCGAGACAGAAGGTTCTAAAACCCCTCTTTGCCTTTACTCCCCTTAATTTTACTTGCGGATTTATTCTTTAGAAAACGATGGAGATTTTTTTCCTAGAGGATTAAAAAACAAAGAGTTTTATGTTCTGTACTGGATAACTAACTGTAATGTTATTCGCCAGAAAAATAATTATTAATTAAGTAGGCCTTAATCTGGAATTTGTTAGGTATATAATGTTCTTTGAAATTACTCTTATCCATTATGCTCTTTTTAGGACCGCTTGCTCAAGTAATTGAGTATTCGGAGTAAATTAACTATTATGTTTTGTAAAATAACAAGAGGACTTTGAAGGTCTTTCTAGTGATGATTTTAACCATTTGTTTGTGTAATCTTAAAAAAGAGGGAAAGTTAAAACATGTTTCAAGTTGCTTTTTCTTAGCATTTCTTCAGCGGACATAAAGTTACGAACGAGCTTGAATTCTCAAACTGTTATTTTATAATATGCCAAAATAATTTTTGCCTTATGTTGTGACACATCGTGAACTATTGCAACATATGAGAATAACATATTGCATTTCAAAAGTTCGGTGCGACTCAGTACATGTGCACTTCTATATGTTGCTATTATAAGCAGGCCAAATAATTATGAGCGTGATTCCTGAACGCTTATCTGTTTCTAAACGCTCTTTGTCACTGATCTATAGTTATTTTGTTCTTGTAACAGGACTGGTGAGTCACGTGGGTTTGCATTTGTTCGTTACAAGTATGCAGATGAAGCACAGAAGGCTGTGGATAGGCTGGATGGTACTTCGCCAAATTCTTTTTGAAGTTGTGCTTTGCATATACAGTTAATTTTTTTTATGTGGTGTTCTGAAAATCCTGTTGTAAGCTAGTAGGAGCATTTTTTTTGAGTTAACTGCTATGGGGCTGGTCATATAACTGAGAAAGAAAAAGCCTATATCAAACTGACATTAATGGCTATAATTTAGATTATGAGCCAGAGGACTGTGTTTGTTGGGATGTTTTGGACGGCGGATGGAAAAATGTTGTGATGGTGAGAAGATAGAAAAATGTCAAGCATGATGGCAGTTTGACTATATTAAAGGGAAAACAGTTATAACATCCCACAGAAAGTGAATTACTGTAAGCACTGCATTTTATATGCTAATTGCCACTTATCCCTGCTTCATGTTATATGCGACGTTTAACATGTCAGTTACTTAGCTTTCTACATCTAAATTCAAAGGTGGATGGCGAATCTGAATTGAGAATACTCTCTTAAACTTGAAACTACCTAGGTTTTTTACTTCTTATAGCAGATCACACGATTCACTTATTTCTGCATTGTCAGTTTATTATGTCAATGTCTCTGGCCACCACATTGAGTTGTTTTGAGGTGCACTTTAAACGTTCCAGTCTGTAAATGTGACATTGCTTGAACGAAAATTTTGCCCTATAGATTGTAGATGTAATGTGATTTCAGGTGTAACCTCAAATCACTTGTCTGACTGCTAGAAGGACTGGATATGCTATTTTTCTAATCTTCTGGTGCACTTGTTTTCCGCCAACCCCTGTTGAGGGTTGCCGATTTATTGGAACTACGGCGATCAATCACATATCGACCTCTCAGCAAGTAAACCTATAAAACTGTTTGTTTCCAATAACATTGGTTGAATTAGTTAGTGGATGCAAATCTAGCTGTAGTTAGATAGGGTGCGCTTAATGATTGATAGATATCACAGTTGTTGATGTAGGGTCTACTTTTACTATTTTCTACTTTTTGAATGTGAAGAGTAACACCGCTGTGAACTATATGTTAAATTTTTTTGGCAGGAAGAGTGGTTGATGGGCGGGAAATGGCTGTTCAATTTGCCAAATATGGGCCAAATGCAGAACGAATGTGAGTAACCGGGTCATTTTGCAAGTATATTAAACGCTTGCGTCAGATCTTCTATTGTGCATATTCAACTGGAGCCTTTTGATGAATTGCATGGTTCTGCTTCCTCTCTTTTGTATTACTTAAAGGAATTTTCCTCTGGGATAATTCAATATGTTTGCTCCTTGATGACTTGTTTATGGGTTCGTTTCTTAGTTTCTGATCTTATGCCTTGTTTGGTCTCAGTCAGCAAGGGAGGATCATTGAGAAGGTTTCAAGAATCAAAGGAAGCTCGCGAAGCAGAAGCCCTCGTAGAAGGTCACCCTTTCCAACCGTACCTACTATGCTGTTCTTTAACCTACTGTGTGTTTGTTTATATATATTTGCCATGTTACTGGAGCTTCACTTGATGTTGTTGTTTGCACGGTGATCATCTATTCCAGTTATTCCTTGCCTGTTTCTATGACTTCAGTTGACATGCCAGACCTTTTAGGACAGTTAAAAAATATTAGGTTGAAGTGGCACTCCGTTGGATGAGCCTTGCCAGTATTTTCCAACGACTTCTCTTTGCTTTTGTAGCTATAAAGCAAACAAAATAACCTTATTAATAAGAGTATAATGGAAAAGATAAAAGAAACCGGGGTTACAATTCTATCCGTATGTTGTCTAGTTACTTACACGGGGGTCGATAAGGCGGCAATGTCGTAAGCAAGCAAGATTTCCAGGATATACTTCAATAGTAGAAACTAGATGGACTAGAATCCAATGATCAATATGTGAAAGAGGGAAAAAGCGAGTGTCGTGTGGATGCTGTTTGTCAATGCAGTGATGAAAGATTGAAGTGGTTGGGGGAAGGATTAGTAGCACACCTTTCTGCAATCTTCATTTGATAGGTGTTGATTTGTGTTTAAATCCTGCTAAGATTTAGACCTCGCCTAGTTACTTTGTAACATTGAGGGTCGTTTGGTAGGGGAACAAGTTATCCCGGGATTATAATGCAGGAATTAAATAGTGACAAGATTATTTAACGAATACATTTTTATTGGAAGATGTTTGGTTCATTGAACTAAAAAGGGACGAGCGGGGTATAATATAAATGTGTGTTTAGTGTATACTAGATAACAACAACGACGACATACCCAGTATAATCCCACGAGTGGGGTCTGGGGAGAGTAGTGTGTACGCAGACCTTACCTCTACCTGGCGAGGTGGAGAGGCCGTTTCGAATAGACCCTCGACTCAAGAAAAGGTGAAAAGAGAGAAAGGAAGAAGACGAAGAAGAAATCGGAAGAAGAAAGAAAAAATAGGGGGGAGGGGGGGACAAAGGACGATAAAAAAAGGGGAGAAATACAACTATAGTAACAACAATAACAACAACAACAACGAAACCAGCAACAGAAAATAGCATCAAACAGTATCAAACTGGAACATATGATGCACGGTGTGAACGAAAAAACAAGGGAGCTACTAATGCTACTAAAAAAGAATGGGGAACTCTCGACTACCTACTAGCCAACTACCCTAATCTTCGACCTCCACACCCTTCTATCCTGGATCATGTCCTCAGTGAGCTGAAGTAGCGCCATATCTTGCCTAATCACCTCTCCCTAATATTTCTTCGGCCTTCCTCTACCCCTTCTCAACTTCGCCACGGCCAGCTTCTCACACCTCTTAATAGGAGCATCCGTACTCCTCCTTTGCACGTGCCCGAACCATCTCAGCCTCAACTCCCGCATCTTGTCCTCCACGGGGGCCACTCCCACTTTTGTCCTGAATAACCTTCGTTCCTAATCTTATCTCTCCTGGTATGCTNTTGAATGGGACTTGCCTATCCCTTATTCATATCCGATTTTTCTCTCTTTCTTTTTGATACTTGGTTGGCAGGGTCAGGGCCTTTCTCACTGGGCGAGCTAATCCGTATTATTCTATGTCAATGTGACCTTAACGGCCTTTATTTTAAGCAATTATTCGCTCCAAGACGCACGACAAGACCTTCGATCTCTCTCTCTCCATAATTGATATGGAAGTTGGAAAAAATCAACCACTCAAAGCTGACCTCAAAATGTTCCAAACACGCATAAGTGTGAAGATTGAAGACCTTCTTTTCTATATTTCATATAGTTGATTAGTACAAAAGAAAAGGGCACTGGTTCACGCATTACGGGTAGATTCCTCTTACCTAAGAAATGGAAGGGGGCACTTCACCGAATGATAGGTAAAGTATGGGACGTTCAGTAAACAATCCCTTAGCTCAAGTCCTCGGAGATACCCAAGGCAGCTCCCCGTGTCCTTTATACCCAACAGGACAAGAGTATACAGGTCCGCCAGGGGCGAATAAGAGCTCGTCGAACCGTCATTCTTTACTTCCGGGGTCAATCAATCGGTAGTCCTCCAATTTATTCTCGAAAGCCTGTTTATAGAAATAGCTTATGCCACTCGATTGCCCCGGATTGACAAAAGAGGCTTGGATTGGAGATTCTTGTGTAAACATTCAAGTTGACAATCGGCTTTCTAGACAGCCAGTGGACTCTGAAACCAATACCAATGATTTCGCTGGATCTAAGAATAACGTAGCACAGAAAACCGGACTCACCAAGGATGGCGAATGGGCAATACGTAGAGGTTGCTCCGCTTCCTATGGATTGTTTCCTTCTTTTTGTCCATATTAGTTAGGCGCGTTTATAGCGATATACTTTCCGTGGACTCTCGCAAATTTTCTTATTGGTGTAATCGATAACCGAATCGATAAGCCCCCAAAATCGATAAATCGAAATCCAAAAAATCAAAATCGAAAAAATCGAAACCTTATTGAAACGATAAGGATAAGCATATGTACAAATCGATAATCGATAAGTAATTATCGATAAGGGTCAAAATCGAATCGATAAATCGAATGAACACCCCTACTTTCATCCTCTGAACATAGGAGTTCTTGACTGGCCAACACTCCGCCCCATACATTTTTATTTTCAATTTTAACCTTGGATTGTTTAAAGACTTTGGGGAAAAGCCTTGGAGAAGGGCATCTGTGTCATTTTAGTGTTTATCCCGGGTTTGATTAATCCCTGTATTATTATCCTACCCTCAATGTGGGATAGAATAATACCCAATTGTGGGAGTAATTAATCTCGGGATTGCTAATCCTGGATTTAAAAATGCATCCAAACGCAAATAAAATAATCCCGCATATAATCTCGGGAATATTATCCCTTATCCCACATACCAAATGACCCCTGAATGTGAGTTAGTATTACTCCTTAGATAAATTGAATTTGCAGAAAAGGTAAGGTCATGCTTTACCAAATGACCCCTGGTTGGGTTGGAGTTGTCCAAGTGCTTCCAAGTTCCAACATGTTTTATATAGCAACTCTTATCTGTTATTACCATTGTTTGCTCTCAGTTATTATTCTAGTTTCCTTTCCAATTCATAGCTGTATGCTTCTATGTTTAGCACACCTCTATCTTCCTTTGATATCACCTTTTCTGGGGGGAAAGGGTGTGTGGATTGTCAAACAGCTGAGATGATTCTGGAGTAGCGGATGCCTTAAAGTCATATGGACCATGTGGCAAGTCAGGAACTCTAAATGTTGGAGGCAATGAGAGTTAAGATTTCATGTGGAGTCCACACTTATTTTAAAATCCCTTCTTTTTATGTTTTAAGCATATTTTTGGAGTTCGTAAATTGTATGGTTGATGGTATATCCTTCATTGAGAAGAGCTTTTAGGTTCTGCTATTGTTGTTTCGTATACGATGTTTATAAAATACCACATGCTTATAGTAGAGAAGGAAACTGTATGATGTTTAGAAAACACAATTTACTTGGAAAAGGGAACAAAAACCACATCTGATCTCGTCCGGTGTCTGACCCGCTTATATGGTGAAGCGAGAAGTGTGCTGAATGTACCTTGTATGGTTTTTACTGGAGACTCAGCTTTTGAGCTCAAAATGCAAGTTGAATACTGCATTGCTAAGACAACTCACGTGGAACTGAACTATGGGAAGCTTGTGCGTAGCTTACTTCCATCGATTGTTTTCTTAGTTGTGGAAATATTGTTGGTTCAATAATTGCTAACAGCTTTCTTCATTTTTTTGTACACCTGGTGATTGATCTTGGGTTTATGAGTTTGCTGGGTTTCACCTTTAACAGATACCGCGATGATCACTATAGAGATAGAGAGTACAGGAAAAGTAGGAGCAGAAGCGTTGATCGTTATGAGCGTGACAGGCATAAGCGGAGAGATCGGGATTATCGCCGTCGAAGTAGGAGCCACAGCTTAAGTCCGGACTATGATCGAGATCGTGGCAGGGGACGTGACAAAAAACACTATAGGAGGAGTCCATTTGACAGGTATTGACTTGCTCTATTATGTACGACCTGTATTGTCTTGTCTTTGCATTATATCAGGCAGTTATTGTGAAATTTATTGCAGTGCCTCCCCACCTCGGCGTAGTCCCAGTCCTTACAGGAAAGAGTCCCCTCGTAGAAGCTTATCACCCAAAAAAGGAAGCCCTGAGAAGCGCAGTCACATTGAACGTTCTCCAACTCCTCGAAGCCGATCCCCTCCTGGTCGAGCAATTGATTCACGAAGCCCTTCTCCTCGTGCTGATGAGGTGATAAGCTGAGCTTTGATCTGATCAATCCCATTTCTCTGACTAAATCTATTTGCTAAAGCATTTATGTCTTACTTTATTTATCTACATTTCAGGAGTAATTTTCTGCTGGCATAATGTGAGGAGGGGCTAATGAAGTCCGTCCACTTTTAGCTGTCTTCTGACTGTGTCAGAATGCGAACTGTGTGATGCAATATCTAGGCAAAGTATTAGCTGACATTTTGGTAGGACTGGTCTCCTGGTGTTTAATGTTTCTGTACTCTACATAGTGCATGCTTGCTATCTTTATGTTTTCAGTGTTATGGTACTATGGTTGGGAACTTAAATGAGTCATGATGCTGAAATTATATTGAGGGATTCCTCTTAAACACTTTCTGCAATATGCTTGCATACAACTGTTGCTTCTATATATTCCTACTGTACTTCCCACTATTAAGGCAATGTATGTTCCTTATGGATGTACTAACTTTATAACCAAACTCGTGCTGGGTTTTATAGTTATGATCGAGAGAAGGATGGTGAGGTTGATGTCAGATGATGATGATGATGATGTGGCTGTCCACAGTCCTTGTAACTTATAGTTCGTGAAATTTGATGAGCCTGATTGGTAGATGATGTGTTGGTTGTGCTGATGATGGTCGGCTGTTGCGATGCAGCTTTTGATGCTGTTTGTAGTTTATGTATTTGCGATGCATGAAGAGCAGATGCTGGCTGGAGATTTTCTGTGTGCACGTGTATATAATGTGTATTGGGTAAGCCTTTCTCCAGTCAAGAGCTCATAAGCCATATCACGTCTCTTATCCAAAAAAGGAGCTCATGTCATAATCATTTTACTAAATTATAAAAATATGCTTCATCCAAGAATTAGCTTTCCTTATATGACATCTATATCTTTTGAAATAATCATATAATGTTATATAGTCGATCTTTTGAAAGACGTGCGTATTGGCAAACCCGGTTATGACAATTGACAAAGAATAATTTCGTTAAGCGTTTCTGGTGTTTGATTATGCATTTATAGAAGCAATTCTCACTATGAGGAGAATGAATTTGTTGATTATGAGCGCTTTAGTTCTCTGCGTGCTGTTCTTTTAGTTCAATTGCGCTGTTATTTGTTGATTATGAGTTGTTTGGTATTCTGCGTGCTGTTCTTTCAGTTCAATTGCTTTAAACAATGTTTAGTTTCAGTTTCTGACTTCCAATAATTAAAAGGCAAAACTATCATTATATTTTTGTATCAGTACTATTTATTGTCCATCTTATTTGCCCTTCAGACACTAAAAAATGAATTCGACAACGATCTTCAACTATATGGATATTTTAGTGGTTACAATGAGAGATGGGGATAAAGGTTTTGTTTTATATTACTTTCATCCGATGCTGAACTTAGTAAAAAACTTTAAAAATCGAAATATTAAAATTTAACCAAAGCATAACGAGGATTCTCAATTAATCTAACTCATAACTTTTCCCAATTCATATTGGAGCTTCGCTCGAAAAAAGGCTCTTATACGAGTTTGATTCCTATTTTCGTTTAATTTATGTAATTTTAGTTGTAGGTTAGTTTAAAAAAGAATAACACGCTATTAAATTTGGGAATAATTTCTATTTTATCACAAGCAATTTTTTCCCTACATAATAGCGTTAACGAAAGACTGGAGCATCTTCGTCTGGACAGAAGCGGATCCATAATTTAAATTTTATGGGTTCAATTTTAATATTTTTAATATTAAATTCTTTATATTTTTAAAGTTATGAGTTCATATATATTATTTTTACAATTTTAATGAATTTTTACATATTACTCCGTGTTGAAAGTTATGGGTTCAGTTGAACCCGTAGACAGTACAATACATCCGCCTTTGAGTATGGAGAGAGGAATTCCTAGTAATTTTGTCGCTCAAAAATGATTTGGCAAATTCTAAAACATGACTTGTAGCCACACGAATATTAGAATATACTATTTGAAAGTACTATTATAGAAGTCTTATAATTATAAAGGTATATTTAAGATCAAGAGTTTTAAAAGTTTTTATTCTTTTTTGTACTGGTGAGTTAAACTATTTCATATAAATGAAAATAGAGGGTATGATAGACAATGTTTAACGGTTATATGGCGAGACCTTCAGAGAGCGTTTTGTTCTGGGATTGCATTTATTATTTGGTTATTAGTATTAGCTAATATCAATCTAATGTTATACCAAACTTTTAGTACTCTGTCCATTTCCATTTAGGTGGCACTCTTTCAAACAAAAAGAATGTTATTTTTCCTTATTTAGAAATAATTTATTTTTAGAACTTTTACGTTACCATTGATGAATTGATTTACAACTATATAAATATTTATGATTTATTTTAGATTATAAATTTAAAAAGTGTTTCTTCATTTTAAAGCTCGACTGCTACATAAATCGAGACGGAGAAAGTAATTTATTTCATATAGAAAGTATAATTATACTTTCAGGATTACAATTTTAAGATTGTTGTTACCTTCCGTGTATTAAAGTGATAACTGCATAATTTCTTGCCTCCCCATTGAAAGAGCAACTTAGATTTACTAATCCAACAGATCCCTTATATTTGTGTTGAATATCAGCTTTCAATTAGTCGTGTGTCAGCTTAAAGATTAGTTTACTCTTCAGCCCATTCCTCGTCTTTTACGTACTATTTGAGCCAATGAGAGGTTTTCATAAATTACTCCAAGGCAGAACATGCATAGCGCTGGTCAGCATTGAGAAAAAACCTCGAGGACAAGTAGTATTACCATCAAACTTGGGAGCTCCAAAAGGCAGTAACCAATATAGGATACAAAGACAAACTGAATGTAATTAATGCTGCTCATCGTCACTGTTATTACTTATTAGGTACCTTATTAAAATTGTAATTATGATTAATCATTAAAAACATTAATATTTCTTGTATTCATTATTTGATTTTTTATTTAATACAAAATTATTTTCTTTGTATGATGATGTTAGGAGTTTATCTCCTTTCGAAAATTTTACTTCAGTTTCTCAAGAAGCTATTAATGTTAATTCTCCATCATAAACCTTATATTTACCATAAGAAAACTGGAGTATAATTTTTGTTAAAAAGTTGCAATTAATTTTTAAAAATCTCACTATTTTCTTATGATCATTGTTTCCAAGTCATCAAGTTATTAAAATGGTAGGAAATCAGTAAATTTAATAAAAGTTTATTATCTCCTTTTATAGTCACGTTAAGAAAGTTGTAAATACCAGTTCACAAGGTCTTTTTGATTAATACAAATTTTTATTATTTTGTAAGATGACACATGAATGCATTAAATCTTATCTTTAAGTTTTAAAGTTTTTATTTTAATCTTTCAAGTTACAATAAGTTGTTTCTTCTTCGGGTGAGGCCTTTTTTAACCAGTAGAAAATTATCACCTCTGTCAAAAAGTTACTATAAATATTTAAACTCTATTTTGTTCATTATTTCACCTTTTATATTAATAATAAAAAAAATTACATTTTTCCTTGTATGTGATTTTAAGAATGCCAAAAATCTCATTTTCGAGTTTTTAATTATTTATTTTAAATTCTCAAATTATAACAATAGAAATATTCTTGATCTATGGATTAAACTACTCAAATTTTCGTATTAATAAATATGTATTTTTACAATAAGATCCAAGGTAGTGTACTGAAACACATGGCTAATATTTTATTAACTTGAATTAACCTTTAACAATATAAATAAATATTACTAATAGATGTTTATTGTCAATGCTCCATTTCTTGTAAGAGTACTGCACTATGTAAGTAAATGCGAAAAACAGAAAGGAGACACCAACTTTTTTGCATGACAATATACATACATATAAAATAAAGTTTAAGGTCTGTTACTAAAATTTAGCTTTAGGTCACTTATTTTATTAAGTCTCTCTTGATACTTAAACCAAAGGGCGGCTTTGCTTGATCGATGATCACGCCCAACTATGCCTTATTAAAAAGGACTAAGCGGACGTTGCAAATATAATCTGAGTATTTAGCCCAGAGTCGAACCCACAAGGAATTAACCTATCAATTACTCTTGTTAGACTCACTAAATTGTACGTAATCAACTTCCCAAACGTTTTGAATAAAAATTGAGGATATTTTTACTAACTATAACTGACTGCAATTAAGTAAACAAAGTCTAACTATGATTAAGTTGTAAACAATTAAGAGAAGGATCTAAGGTTATGATTTTCCCTATTGATGGAATCCCTTCATGTTATGTTTTATATAGATTTGCCTAATCGTCTCTATCAATCATGAGCACTCTTATTACCGTAAATCTCTCCCGAGTAATCACAACAATTTACTAGATGCACTCTCCCGAGTTACGCTAGCTGGCTTTTATTACAACTCACTTAAGATTGCACCCAAGGCTTCGTTATCCCTAATCCCACCTTTAAATCCTCGGTTATTGATCCCTCATATACTCTGGGAGTGGTGTTGTTCAACAATTACCTAAATATGCATTCTCTCCCGAGTAATACATACTAAATAGGCACAACTAATTGGGGATCCTATCAATTAACTACAACAAGAACATAGTTGAACAAATAGAGAATAAACCGGGCAAACTATATTAACATATCAAGAAGTTCATCCTTCAATAGATTCCATCAAAACCAGACCAAATATTTAGCTACTCATACTAGTGTTCATTATAACAAAAGCCAAATTAATCACAAATGGTAAAAACACAAAAGGAAGAAAGGAAGAACTCGATGTTGAATTATCCTCCTTGCCTCTTGCCTCTCCTTGCCTTCAACTAAGCTATAAAAACCTTGATAATACTCCTTTGGGCGAACTGGACCTTTTATAGGTTAAGTGGAATTACCCCCGAACTTCCAAGTTTACCCCTGAATTTTATTTTTCGGAACTGGAATAGCGCGGTCGCGCTAATGGGCGTGCTACTGACCGCGCATATGGAATAACATTCTGCCTCGTACTCCTGGGCTAGCGCGGTCGCGCTAGTGGACGCGCTAGTGGGCGCGCTAGTCTGGGTCATCATTTCAGCCTTTCTTTCTCTCTTCTTCCAATGTACTCAGCTCCGATGGGCTTCCCTTGCTTCAATTTAGCTCTAATTACAGTTCTACGTCCTCATACACGCAACTCGCTCCTGCAAAACATGAAATTCACAATTATAGCCAATTTATCATCATTTAACTATCCTATAACAGTGAAACATAGTCAAGCTGGGGCATAAACAGTCGCCAAATTACATGCGTCTAGCCTATTATCAACACCCCTCACTTAAATCATTGCTAGTCCTCGAGCAATCCACCACACTCTATAAAGGTTCCTTCACTAAGCCTTTTCCCCTAACGTATCACACCAAGAACAAATCACCAAAGTAACGCCTAGTAGTGAACAATCTTTGCCTCAAAAGTCGACTCTCACGTGCCGTGCAATATTCGTATTTACTCAAATTACTCTATACAGTAGTCAAGACTTACCTTTCCTTCGTGAATCACATGACCTCACATCACACACGAGAGTAGTTCCACAAATATTAATATTAAGAACAATTAGGAACTTAGATAGATAAAATTTGCTCACTCTCAAAAAGAACATTCACATGCCACAAAAACGCACCATAGACTTGCCCGTAGTGTACTACTCTGCTAATCGAGCCCATTCAGTCTAAGATCAATTAGGACTTCACTTGGTTGTAATGTAGGCTAAGAGATGGGTAGGATATATTTGGATATAGTGACTAACCTCCCTAAGCACTTTTAATACAATCACATTAACCTTCAAAATCATACTTATGTCAACCAGACATTCCACAACATTTTTATTTATAACATCTCACTCCATTAGGTGCAATTGTATCAAGTCACCACTTATCAACTACTACATTTACTCATTCTCTCTTTTTTTTTTCTATTTTTTTCTATTTTTTTTCTTTACGTCGACTTAGACCCTCAAGAACCCCGTCGAAAAAGATCCGTCGTCGAGACAAGTCAGCTTACCT